AGCATCACAGGTAAATCTAAAGACTCCTTTGATTACCACCTTAAGATCTTTTCCTCATCTCCTCGGGGGAACCACTGTTGTCAGTATAGTATCTGTTTTTAGAATATTCCAAAAATAGTTTTACAACCAGAACCTACTGATAAATCATAGCAGTGAGAAAAAAAATCAGAAATGAGTGTTATGAGTACATATAAAATTGACTATACTGTAGTCCACTAAGTGCGCAATAGCATCATATCTAAAAAAGCAATGCACATAACCATCATCTGAGCTTTCAGCAAGTCCTAATCTTTTTGCTGGCGGAGGGTCTTGGTTCAGTGCTGATGGCTGCTGACCAGTCAGGGTGGTGGTTGCTGAAGTTTGGGATGGCTGAGGCAATTTCCCAAAATAAGACAATAATGAAGTTGAGCACATGGGTTGAGTCTTCCTTTCACAATTTCTTTGTGACATGTGGTACCGAATGATTGCATTTTGCCCACAGTAGAACTTCTTTTAGAATTGGAGTCAGTTTTCTCAAACCCTGCCTCTGCTTTATCAACTAAATTCATGTAATCTAAATCCTTTGGTGTCATTTTAACACTCTTCAGAGCATCTTCATCAGGATAGATTTCATCTCAAGGAAGAACTTTTTGTTTATCCATAGGAAGCAACTTCTCATTGTTAGGGTCCGTAATCAAAGGAGCGAGACTGATACAAGGCGAAGGTCAAGCAAAGCTTTATTTCGCGCCAAGCATCGAGAATCAAACTGACCGGTCAGGGCAGTCTCTTGCAAAGAGGCGACCCCTCCCAGCCTCACAGACTAACTTTTATAGAGGTAGTTTAGCTGGGCTATACACAGGTGGCCAATGAGATTGCAATACACAGAGAAAACTGCAGTCATGCTAGGTCTGCCACACACAGAAAAAAAACTGCTAGGTAACACACGGTTGGCCAATTGAATTTCAATTTACCCTAGTAGATATATGTGCACCCAACTGATTGGACGTCTTCACCTGGCCTGACCCGCCCCTGTATCTAGGCTTTGCAAATAAGTTCCTCTGGGAGGGGCAGGGTCAATCTAAGTTTACTGCATAGGGTCAATCTAAGTTTATTGCAACAAAATGGCTCCTTCTGGCCAACCAGGCCCTTACACTCATCCGTTAAAGTTTTATCATAATCTCAGGGCCATGAGATCGAGCCCCAAATCAGCCCCCACACTGGGTATGGAGCCTGCTTAAGATTCTCTTTCCCAGGGGGAGGAGTCAAGATGGCGGAGAAGTAGCAGGCTGAGACTACTTCAGGTAGCAGGAGATCAGCTACATAGCTTGTCTAAAGATTGCAGACACTTACAGATCCAACAGGAGATCGAGGAGAAGAAGAACAGCAATTCTAGAAACAGAAAATCAACCACTTTCTGAAAGGTAGGACTGGCGGAGAAGTGAATCCAAAGCGATGGGAAGATAGACTGCGGGGGGAGGGGCCGGCTCCCAGCAAGCGGCAGAGCAACGGAGCACAAAATCAGGACTTTTAAAAGTCTGTTCTGCTGAGGGACATCGCTCAAGAGACTAAACCGGGGAGAAGCCCACGCGGGGTCAGCATGGCCTCAGGTCCCACAGGGTCACAGAAGGATCGGGGATGTCTGAGTGTCGCAGAGCTTGCAGGTATTAGAACGGGGAAGCTGGCTACAGAGACGGAGCCGAGGAGTGAGCTCACAGCTCGGGGTTACCTTGAACCGGTCACAGGCTCGGTGAGCTCGGAGCGCGGCCGGAGGCCAGGGAGACGCGAGTAATTGGGCACTGTTCTCTGAGGGCGCACTGAGGAGTGGGGCCCTGAGCTCTCGGCCCTCCGGGCTGGAGACTGGGAGGCCGCCATTTTCATTCCCATCCTCCGGAACTCTAAGGAAAGCGCTCAGGGAACAAAAGCTCCCAAAAGCAAACCCGAGCGGATTACTCAGCCCGGCCCCTGGTAAGGGCGGTGCAACTCCACCTGGGGCAAAGACACTTGAGAATCACTACAACAGGCCCCTCCCCCAGAAGATCAACAAGAAACCCAGCCAGGACCAAGTTCACCAACCAAGGAGTGCAGTTTCAATACCAAGGAGAGCAGCGGAATTCCAGAGGAGGAGAAAGCAAAGCAC